AAATAATAAATCAGAAGAGGGCCTTGGGTTTTAATGCAGCTCTCTCCAAACGTGGCTTTCTGGGGCCATTCCTACAACCTAGACCCCTTACCAACAAGCGGATGGAGCAGAGGTGTCACCTCACTTTTCCTCATGAATTCAAAGGCAGGCCATGGGGCTCAGCGAGTTTCTGAATGCCCCGCTCCTCCTACGCATCCTGCCTGAATGCCGCAGCTTTCCGAGTTCAAAGAGCTGTGGCGTCCACACCCCCTTGGGCTGGATTACTCAATTAGGGATTATGCTTCTGCCAGTCACCTCCTAGCCAACTGGGGCCTCTGCCAAGGTCAACACAAGTTCCAGCCAGTTTCATTAATAGCGGTGAGACCCAGCCCACTGGAAACTCTGAGAGGTTAATCCCAGAAACAGATGAACGTTCCCATAACAAAGCCATGAAGAAAAAAACAGAACAGAAAACACAGCTGGTAGTTTACCAGCTAACTGTTCCGACTAGCTGCATTAGCAAGTTCAGGGCAGGTTGCAGACCTGCCCTGCATACAAGCCCTAACCACGCTCCTGACATCTCACCTGAATCTCTAGCTGGGCCATAGCGTGGGCGAGCAGTTAGTGGGTGAGAGGTCACTGGAGTTTGAGATTTATGGACAGCTGAGCCTGTAGGGGTCACTAACCTTGAATTTCAGTTACTTCTAAACCCACGGCCGCCTCTCACAGAGGAAGGGAAAGATTTATTTGAGGAAGTCTAGCTCGGAGTGGCACTGCCAAGACACCGCACAATGGAAGAGAAATGAATAGGAAAACACAGGAAACAGGACTACTGAATGCCGTAGAAGAGGTCTTTAATCCCTTGCAGGGCTGCATTCAAAGCATTAGTTAATGAGCTACTGCCTTTTCCATTGTAAACCCTGTTTTCCAGGAATTTATTGTGACTTGGTCTCGGGAACGTGCAGTCAGGGTGAAACTTGGCAAGTCAATTGTTCGCCTGAATGTGTCATTACAAGTTTATTTTAAAAGGGTTAGTTGGTCATTTTAAATATTTTTTTTAAATCTACATCAAATCATAACCCCTTTAGTTCTGAACACTTTGGTTCTGTCAAACCTATGTCTTAGCCTGGGTGCCACCACCTTTTCATAATGCCCCCTCCCATGAATATTCTAGGAGTTATTGGTCTGAAACAAAAACGTTTTATGTACAAAGACAAGCAATAAAAGAACTAGCCAACAATGGAAGTCACAATTCCAAGGGAGCATCTGAGTAATAAATAATAAATAATAATAATAATAATACCACCACCACCCAGCTCTTCTGTAATGTTTTTTCTTCACTAGATCCCAAAGGAGGCCAGTATGATCTCCAGTTTACAGAGATTCAGCCATGCTGCCTATGTATGTATAATCTATATATGTACATGAAAATCTCCTCCTCCGCTAGGATCAATGCAGAGACTCAAGGCGTGCTGTCTTTTGTCTGCATGGCTGGTGAATACACAGCAACGGAGACATCCGTTCATCTGCACATGAAACACGTGGGGGAGGAGGGAGCAAAGCTAGCAAAGATAAACTTGTAAGAACCAAGGGGTATGATGAATAAGTGTGAACACTAAAGTGGTGCTAAAAAAAGCAGTGTGACAGCAAAGGCCAAGTGTCTGCAAGGACAGTGCTAAGCGGGGATTAGCAACAAGGACCCGAGGACACACATACAATGCGCCATTTCACAAAGTCACAGGTGCTACGTGGGAAAGCTGACAGCATCCACAGAAGGGATCTTCACAGTCACTCATGAAGAAGTCACTGGCAGCAAAAGGAGAGAATCCCAGGCCAGCATGTAGAAGAGGTACTCCCTTCAGCCACACACCCAAGCAGAGGGTGGTCATACTAGTGAAGATTTACTTCAGATCAGAAGTGAGTGTAACTCTGCCAGGAGTGGAGAAATATTGCTGAAGATTTAATTAGAAGAGCGAGCTGGGGTGCCTATATAAGAATGGATTAGAATAACTCCATGAAGGCTAGTAGTTATTTTAGATGTACACTGACACCAGTGAGTGCCAAAGGTGGCCTTTCTTGGTTTAGGGTAGAAGACAGCCTTGTTCTATTATGGGGGCAAATGGCCTAGATAAACCCAGAGGTCCCTTCCAACCTGGTCTGTAAGGCACTGAAAAGGCATACAATGGATCTTCTGGGATGAAGGGTTCTAGCACCACACCTGTGCTAGGCTTTCAAGAGATGTTGGAAGCCCTCCCCTCCCCTCCACTTCAGTGGGAGCTGAGGACAATCAGCAATCCATAGTACAGGGCTAAGAGAGATCACTTAGTTTCATTTCCTGGGTGCTGGAACAAAGAGAAATTTCAAATGATGATTTCAGACTCCACTAAGATTCCCACCAGTTTGAAATAGCAGATCCTGTTCTCAATACAGACTCTGAAATTTCAAATCCCTCCAGCAGGAGCATATTTCTCCTGAATTGTATCTCACTGATCTATTTTTTTTAAACAAACACTTGACACTCCCAGAAAATGACCATAAGACGTGTCACAGACCAAGAAACAACTGCTCTCTCTCTATACTCATTAGCTAAGGCTTCCAAGTGGCTTAGCTAATACATTTCTCTCTGGAAAACATCATAAGAACGGCCAAACTGGTCAGACCAAAGGTCCATCTAGCCCAGTACCCTGTCTTCCGACAGAGGCCAATGCCAGGTGCACCAGAGGAAATTAACAGAACAGGGAATCATCAAGTGATCCATCCCATATCACCCATTCCCAGCTTCTGGCAAACAGAGGCTAGGGACACCATCCCTGTCCATCCTGGCTAATAGCCATTGACGGACCTATTCTCCATGAACTTATCTAGTTATTTTTTGAACCCTGTTATAGTCTTGGCCTTCAAAAGTGTTGACTGAAATAATGTGTAGATAGAGAAGCTTGTGATAGTTTCTCCACAAGAGCTTTTTGCTTTAAACCACATAACCGAAGGGTTTGTTTTCCACCCCTTCACAAGATATCTAATCCAGCAGTCAGCTGAACATGTGGTTCCATCCCAATGGTGTTGAAAGAAAAACTCCGGGGTGGTCACAGTACCGCCTCATTGATGATGCTTTCTGGAACAGTAGTGGCTATGGAATGCAAGGGGCTAGGGTGCCCAGGAAGGGTTATTTCAAAGGAAAATACTATCAAGGCTGTAGGGGAGCGATCTGATTCACCTGGGGAAGGTGTCCTAGTCCCACATAGTACTGGCCATTAAGTGCAGACTGCTCTACCCCTTTCCAATGGAGTCTCACTAATTATATACGAGGTGGGTATTCACCCATGAAAGCTTATGCTCCAATACGTCTATAAGGTGCCACAGGACTCTGTCGCTTTTCACTAATTATACAGGGATCTGAGCCATCAGAGCACCGGTTGTATCAGCTTCATTCCAGAGCTTCTCCCCCACCACCAGGGAGGTCCACCATAATAGTCCTCTGGGATCCCTGAGCATCCTCATTCTCTCCAGCTTTGCACCCTTCTAGTTGAAGCTACACGTCTTTCCCGCTCAGGACAGCTTGATGAGATTCCTCTGGAAGCCGAACAATGCCATTCTCTTTCTTTGGTGGCATCTTCATTACTGGAGGTTTGCAACCATGGTCGCCCATGCCTCTAGATCAGGAGAAATCGCCATGTTCTGGCACTCCCAAGCGGGAAAGCAATTAGCGTGAAACGCACACACGTTACCCCTAGATTTGGATACTTAACCCATTCATTTTCAATGCAACTTGGGTCCAGTTTTATTAATCAACGGGCTCAGAGTCCAAAGAACTCACATCAACAGCCCAGAATTAGATGCACCATAAAAATGAGCTATGGCTCTATCAGGCTAATGCCATCTGCCTGCCGACGCTGAGAGACATGAATCTGGCCAGAATTTCAGACTGAGGGAAAAGTCAAATGCTGTTTATCCAAACGCAGCATCAAAACTGATCCAAATAAGCAGGAGTTCACTTAACTGTGATTTAAAAATCCCCAGCTTATTACATGGGGAGGCAGTGCCGTTTCAGATAAATGAGTTATTTTGTTAAATGAGGGAGGCTTCATTGTGTAAGATTATAAAGGGCTGCTCTACCCGCCGTTCAGTGTGTGTAACTTATTCTCCTTCATCGAGATGACTCAGAAATGTTCACAGCAAGGGAAGTACAACTGTAATGAGGGGAACAGAGCTGCCAGCCAACCACAGAACACTTCACACACAGCTAGCAAATAGACAGACAGGATGAAAGAAAGATCAAGTAAAATTACATCAGAGGGCCCAACATCCAGAGGAGCAGGGCTTCCCAACGCCATGCGGGGTCAAGGGCAGCGTCAAGCTGCTCTAGTGACTGGAATGTCTAACAGCCTAGTAAACGCATGCATATTATACTAGTTACAATGAAAACCTACACCCCTTAGAACAGGGCATCCAGCCCTGACAACATCTAGCAGAATGCTAGAGCCATCAAGGGCTGTAAGCTATACCTGTATTGCATCAAATGGTGCATGGAGCCTTCAAGGAACTACAGAATTACAGGCCCCATAGGTAAGGCTAAGATTATGTCACAGAGGTCACGGATTTTGTGATTTCCAGAGACCTCTGAGACATTTTCTGCTTCAGCCCAGGGTGGCGGGGCTGGAGCTGTCAGCTGGTGGGGGCCCCCGCAGTTTCCAGCCTCTGCGGGCGCCCAACGTTCCCAGCTACCGCAGGTGCTGGAGCCCCCCCGCAGCAGGGCTCAGGCTCATCTCCCCATCAGCCCCTTCTGTCACAGCTATTTTTAGTAAAAACGGAGGGACAGGTCACAGGCTTTCGTGAATTTTTGTTTATTGCCCGTGACCTGTCCCTGACTTTTACTAAAAGTAACTGTGATAAAGCCTTAATCTTACCCATAGGCAACCTGTAGGAGCCAGACAGTAAAGCAAATGCAATTCCCACGGGCGCCATATAACACATGGTCTGCACCTGCTTAGCGTCCTAAGGCTGTGGGGGGCTCTTTTCCTTACCTTTGAGAGATCTTCCGTCCCTCCCTGCTGATTTTGGTTAAGTAGAGGCGAGTGCCGCATCAGCGAGTCTTGCAGCAGGTCTAGCCGCGGTCGTTTTGTTTCAATGAACTCTATTTCTGACTGTTTGCTCATGTCAGAGAGATAGGAGTGGGGCTCGGCTCTCAGGTGTAACTCCTGCGACCTGGGGAGAAAGCGAGAGGCAGTTTTAGAGTCACAAGCAGCCATTCTAGCAGGCACGGGGCTCCCACATTTCCACATTGAGAATTCCTAAAGGGTTATAACCTGACACGGGAGGATAAAGTGTTCGACTTGATTTACACTTCCCAGGCAGCTAAAAACCGGTGCTCTTCGGTTTTGTGCCTCACAACACCGCCCCCCCCCCCCCCCCCGCGGTAGGCTATCCAGGGAAAAGATGGACTGGTGGGAACGGCACCAAATGGGTATTCAGAAGATCTGGATTCATTTCTCAACTCTGCCAATGACTTCTTGTCTAGTCCTAGGCAAATCACTAGATTTCTCTGTCCCTCAGTGATTTATCTGTAGGACCCTTTGTTTTTAGTTTTTATTTTATTTAATTTTTCCCAGGAATTTATCAATGTTTATTACTACAATAACAAAAACAGGTAAAAATCGGTGGGAAAAAACTTAATTTTGCTGGGTAAATATCGAGGTTTATTTTGGTGGACGGAAGGATGGGGGGAAAAGTATTCAGTAGATCAGCGTTTCTCAAATTCTGGATCGGGACCCCAAAGTGGTTCGTGACCAGTGTTCCCTCTAATTTTTTACACCCATGTGCGGAATGAATTTTGTTATGTGCGCCAATATGGAGGTGATATGTGACCTTCATATTGGTGCACATAACAAAATTCATGTGATGGGGGTGGGGCCGAGGGGTTCAGAGTGTTGGAGGATGAGGGCTCTGGCTGGGGGTATAGGCTCTGGGGTGGGGCTGGGGATGAGGAGTTTGGGGTACAGGAGAGGGCTCAGGGCTGTGGCAGAGGGTTGGAGTGCGAGGGGGTGCGGGCTCTGGGCTGGGGCTGAGGGGTTTGTGGGAAAGGAGGGGGCTCAGGGCTGGGGCAGAGAGTTAGGGTGGGGCCAGGGATGAGGGGTTCAGAGTACAGGCTGCCCTGGGGCTGCGGTGAGGAGAAAGGACTCCCCCCAGTCCTCTCTCACCGCAGCAGCTTGGGGTTGGGGGAGAGGCGTCTCTCCCCAGCCATGGCAACTCCGGCACGGCTGGGCAGAGGGAGGGGCTCCTCTTCCCCGGCCGGGGCAAGTCCGCACTTTGGCGGGCGGGAAGGGGCTCCTCTCCCTGGCAGCTCCGGCAGGCCTGGGCCGGGCTGGGCTGAGGGTGGAGCTCCTCTCCCCCAGCCGTGGTAAGACCGGGGCAGGTCTATGCTGGGGCTGGCGGGGAGGGGTGCCTCTCCCCTGCGCGGGGTTTAATAGCCAGCTGCACAGCCATGCAGCTTAGAGGGAACTTAGGTCATGACCCCTTTTTAATGGGGTCGCCAGGCCTGGCGTTAGACTTGTTGGGGCCCAGGGCCGAAGCTGAAGCCTGAGCCCAACTGCCCTGGGTGGCGGGTCTCAGGTTACAGCCCCCTCGCCTGTGGCTGAAGCCCTGTGTCTTCGGCTTTGGCCCCCGTGCCCGGGGCAGTAGGGCTCAGGCTTTGACTTTGGCCCTCCTGTCTGGGGCTGCAGGACTTGCGAGGGCTCAGGCTTCGGTCCACCCTCCTGGGGTCGTGTAGTAATTTTTGTTGTCAGAAGGGGGTCGCAGTGCATTGAAGTTTGAGAACCCTGCAGTAGATTAATGCTTCGATGAATGGAATTCAATGTGGTTTGCCGCAGAACTAAAACAGCCATCTCTGAGTTTAAGAAAACAATACATCTCTAATCCCCAAATAAAACTTTTTATTTGAATAAACAGTTTACTGTTGTAGACCTAGAACTATTAGCCTAGAAATATTTACATTTAATAATTGGGCCCCACCATTTGTAGCACATACATTCAACTTAATCCTTTTCTCCTGTTTTTGTTTTAAACTTTTGAATAATTCCTTGTGTTCTGAACCGTAATCAGAGCTGCTGGAAGCGGCGCGGGCCGAGGGACATACTGGCCGCTGCTTCCAGAGGCTCCCATTGGCCTGGAGCAGCGAACCGCAGCCAGTGGGAGCCGAGATCGGCCGGACCTGCGGATGCGGCAGGTAAACAAACCGGCCCGGCCCGCCAGGGGCTTTCCCTACAGAAGCGGCGTCCCAAGTTTGGGAAACACTGTTCTAGACTAATACATATAGCTTTACTTCAACAGGCAGCTTTGCATATACACACAGACTAATGTATTATCGTAATACATATATCTCATGCAATGTAATGTGTTTTCCTAATAAAACAAGTTATTTGATTGATACAAAAGCAGGGTGAAAAATCGGGGGGAAAAACCTCACCAGGCTTTGGGTCAGGCCCAAAGCAATTAAAGAGAGGAGGGATCCTCCTGAAAACAATCACATTCAGTCCATTTGACGTGAAAGTTTTCTGTAAATGCACCAACGGGTTTCCATATCAAATGCATTTAGTTTATGAGTTAAAGAAGCCCCCAATCCCTCAACTGTTGGGCTTGCAAACTCAGCATGCGTTCCAAGAAGCAAGCCAGGATCTTGCATATCACCACCAGTAACAAAGGTTCTGGAGGCCAAACTACACTGCCAGTGACAACCCCCATTGTCTGCCATGGGCTTGGCACAGGGGAAACTGCTGGAGTTCAGTAAACAATTCTGCTGATATACAGACAGGAATCAAATGTGGCTTGTTCACTCTCAGCTGAGGAGATAAGAGGATAAAGATCAGTTCCACACTTGCATTATTTTTGCCAATTAAGCCTCCAAGTATAGCAGAGAGGAAATTTGCCATATACGTAGCTACTTTTCAAAGTAAGACTCTGAAATACCGATCATTTCACTTGAATGATACGGCGCTTTTCTAGCCAGCCTTGAAACACCCTGTGGCACCTCTCAAGTTTCCTGTTGTTCTGCCCAGTCCCCGGGGCAAATTCTGCCTACCCACAGCTGCAGTTCAACATTTCATGTTCTGCTCGAATACTAAATAACAAACAGCAACTGCTGAGCAGGGAGGGTGTTAAAATATTTCAACACCCAGACTCTGGTGCACAAAGGTAATTAAAATCAGTTTCCTGTTTTCTTAAAGCATATATTACCAAGGGCTGCTAATTGCCAAGGGACTGCTCTGAAGCTTTAGGACTTGCAAAAAACCCCACAAACCTAGATTCAAGCGTATTCATTACATGGAGACATTTTTCAAGATAAAATAATACAATTTTAAGATCACAGTTCTCTATCATGACTCAGGCCTATACTGTGCCAAGCAACTATTACATTATAGGCTGCTTATTTTCTTTCCATTTCCACATCCACTGGAACACTCCTGTTCTTTTTGCGGATACAGACTAACACGGCTGCTACTCTGAAAACTGGAACTTCTGTTGACTTTCATCCTGAGGAATTTCAAACTGCTCCTGAGATTACTTTACCCAATACAATTCCTTCAGCCTTTCTTGTTTGGAAATAAAATGCTATTGCTAGAAGTCTTCACACCTTTCATTCTCCACATTCACGCCTTTAACGAGATCTTTACAATGGACTTTTATGCAGCAACAGCATAAAGCTTATGCTCTAATAAATTTGTTAGTCTCTAAGGTGCCACAAGTACTCCTCTTCTTACTGCCATTAGAGTAAAAATAACTCGCGCTAGAAAAAAGTTTAGTTACATTCTGTTTCAGTTAGTGTTGCATTTTCTCCAAAATAGTACCCACCTGGCCATTTCATTCCAGAAATTTCTAGTTCGCTAAAGGAAAAGAGCGTTTCTAATGTCATGTTCAATTGCACAACCAGTAACTAAACACCAATGGGCTAATCTTTGGCAACCGACACTTGGAATTAGTAAAGTATAAACTGTTAGGATTTCATGCAAATAACTAAGCAACTCCCAGTGCAATCAAATGCGTACTGAGAGTACTCATCAAATCGCACGGTCAGGCATTGTTGCAGATGCCCTCCTACAAATAGACTTTTTGTCATACTGTACTCATGGCTGCCTTTAAGTCTGTATCATTTATAAAAGTGGGGTTGTAACAGGCTTGCAATGTTTGCCTGAAATGGCTAGGAAAGTGTTACGTGGATGTTGTTGCTTCACTGACTAAGGTGTCATTAGTTGAACATAAAGGAAGTTGAGCGTGTTTTCCTCTAGGGGGAGACACGATCTAGGGTGTGTGCTGAGCAGAAGGAACCCTGGGAGCAGCGAGGCCAGGGAAGACCTGAGCTGATCTTGACTTTATCTTCTCATTTGTTTTGTTAGCAAAGTCAAATCCCCAGGAGGGGGTGCGCTTGAACTTTTCAAACCGTAAAAATAAAATAAATAATAAATAACGAATAAAGTTCTTGCATTAACTAAAACTGCCCTCAGTGTCTCTCAGAAGGACATAACTTTGTTCCTCAAATCAACGGAACCTTTTGGGTTCTCCTTCAAGTCTTTTATAACCACGTTCTCCAATGGGCTGCCAACCCTGGGGGAGGCAAAAAGTGGGATGAGGCCAAAACCTTTAACACTATTACATATTTTTCAGACGGTTATCACCATTCCTCTGGCAATAATGAAGTTCCTCGCTATTTAAATGGAAGTGTTATCTTTAAAGGACACTCTCAATGCCAGCAGACCAAAAAAAGGGACCCACGAGATGGGATTTTGATATGTGCACACAGCACATTCCCCCAATTCTGAGTTTGGTGCATGCCTGGTCTTTGTCGGAGACCCCAAGAGATATTCTAGTGCTCTGAGCACTTCCAAAGAGAATCCTGTGAATAGGAGAGATGTTGAAATTCATCTCAAACACACACACACACACACACATATATATATATCCTGGACTGGCTCTGTAAAGTTGCTAGAAGTGTTGTTTTAATTTAAAGTCAGTCTGTAGGCCTGACTTTGGTGAAAAAACATCCTTTTTAGAGATCTGGCAGGAAGTACTGCATGGAAGTGCCCAGAACACTGCTGGCAGCACATAGATTAATGAGGATCATATAAAAGATGTGTAATTTCCAAAACAGGTAATGCTTTGGACCCATTAACTTTAGCAGTTTCTCTTTGAAATATACATCAGAAAAATCATTTTAC